TCATTTTGAGTTTACCACTTGTTTGAAAAGCCTATCCCGAGAAAAACATTAGCGGATGAAACTCAACGGAATAGAATTATATATTTATCTTTTTTTAAAATAAAATTATAAATTATAACAATTCTTTTATTAAAGAAGCCTGGACTTCTCTTAAATATCACTACCGAGTGCGCGGTATAGCTCTTGCAGATGAACTACGTAAAAACGTACGTAAAACCTGTTTTGATGTTTTAAAAATATACGCAATTCGTTATACTCTCTATGAATTATAACTTAGCATGGACCCATTATTTTTGCTCAACAACTAACAATAATGTATACTAAAACTTTAAAGCTTAAGCCATTAATATTATAACCACTATAAAAGTATAGCTCTACCAAGAGTTAAGCAACAAATTTTTGCTCTACAACTGAAAGGCATAAAAGTATAATAAAACAGAGACTATTTGATCGCTACGTTTTATAGCTAGCTTTAAAGCTTATCTTTCAGCACCTCAACGTTTTAGTTTCTCCCTCTTCCCCAATTAACCTTTAAAAAAATTATTCGCATGAGATGCATCAAGGGGTGGTTTTAGAATTCAATAGGTGATGCAGCTATATAAATTCAGTTTTTAACGCTTACAAAAAAGGTAAAAATTTACACTATATTATGTGTAAAATTAAACCGTATTACATTAACTATAAAGTTTAAATTCGAATGGAAGTTTCATAAAGGTAAATCTAATTTGATTTGTAGAGTCGTGCAGAACATGGTCTTTCTGACAGGCAACTTTTCAGTTAATTAGTGTGATTTGCGATTTTTTCCCAGCATCATGCTTTACTTGGAGGCTACAAGCACCTTTTGGGTGAAACGTCGAAAATTTTGTAGCTTTTCATAAAATGCTTTTAATTAATGCTATCTTTATACAGAGATATATATTAAAATTGTAACTGATCGCTGTCTGTAGATGGAAGATATTGAGAAAAACTACTATTGGGGGTCTTTATTAACGCAATAGAACCCAAAAAAATGATTTTAGAATTTTTGTCTGCATATCTGTTTGTCTGTGCTTTTGTGTGCGCTGTTATTATATTATTGACTATTGCTTCTATTATATATAATATATATATTATATATATATATATATATATATATATATATATATATTATTATCGCGTATTGCGGTAAGCTTCACTTATAATTTAGTATTTGTTTTATTTCAATCGGTTCGTAAATGATAGACAGTCAGATAGACATACTAACAGTCAGACAAAAAATCCAAAAAATCTAAAAGATATAGATATATGTACATAAATATAATAAAATTCTGAGTCGAATCTGCACATTAAATATTTTTTAGAAAATCTTATCAAAATAGTCATTATTATCGATACAGAGGCCGAATTTATAGTTTTAAGAATTTTTGTTGTCTGTGTCTCTTTCTGGGAACGTATCATAAAAAAACCACTGGTCGGATTTTGATGAAATCTGGTATGATGATAGCTGGGTATCCGGGTCAACATATAAAATAATTTCTACTGCAGGAAAATAACCCATCTCTGTGAAATCTATCTAATATAATCTGATACTAACCGTTAAAAAGCTCTTAGAGGTGAACCCGAGCGGAGCGAGGGTGAGTCGCTAGTTATATACATAAATACTTATTTAACAATTATAACCTCATACTTTACAACTATAATGACTTACAACGCTGATAATTTTAAGGTTTGTACGTATTTATATATGTAAATAAATTTCAATAGGGAAGATGGCTGGGTACTACCATCGTCATGGGATCCTATTATTAATATAATAAAATCAAATAATAAATCTAAACATAACAGACAGGCAGATGTACTCGTAGTACGAGTAAGTTCTTACTGTGTGGATCAAAATGGCAGCATATCAGATTAATATTTTTCATTTTTCATTTGTAAAAGTATATATGTAGTAATAGTGTTGCATAGTAATTTGTCTTTTAAATAATAGCCAACTAAATTAAAATTATTATCCCTAATTAATTTTAACTTTTTAAATTACACATAGAACAATTATAGGGCTTAAATAATTAATACTATATTTTATATTTTTCTTTATGGTTATAAATAGAATAATAGCAACACTAAAATTATAGATTACTAATTAAAATTTTAAAATTGTAATAATTATAATAATAACAGCATAATTAAATAAATAATATTCCATATTCAAAAATAAAACTAATTAAAATTATAAAAATGTTTAAAGTTAAAAAATATTGTAAGGTAATTGGTGAAATTTTCATTTTGTTATTTGTGGGTAGGCTGTCTGTAACAACTATACCTTCGAGACATGTAACACCTCAGTCTCTCCCGTGACCATGGATGCTGTAAAGCATTCGAAACGTCGGGAATCAAAAATTCAAATAAATCCGCGACAAAGTCCGAAAAGATAGTTTTATTTAAAATGTCAAATATTCGCGTAAATCTAAGAAAGTACATAATTAATTCTATTCGGAAATCGGTTGACAAAGAAAGGAAAAAAATGTACTGAGCTGTTTTGTTTTTAACATACGCAGATTTTTTCTGGTGTTCATTTCTATTATATAATATTCTTTTATCATATTATTTACTTTATTTTTAGTGCATATTGTTCTTTTGCAATTTGGTAAAACCACAAAAAGTATTGCTAATGAAAATGTTTTAAAAGCACAGTGGACTCAATGAGTTGGAGCTGCGGAATATTAAAAATAAGAGCGAAATGGGGCAAAGTTGGGAAACGGTATTTTGTAAGAGTTAATGATGTAAAACATACTAGAAGGGGTCTGATAAAATAATAATGTTCTATATTAAATTATTCCATTAATATTATAAATGCGAACGTTTGGATGGATAGTTGTTACTCAATCAAGTCAGAACGGCTGAACGATTTTGGATGAAATTTGGCAGAGTTAGATTATAGTCTGGAATTGTACATAATACTTTTTTATCCCTGAAAATTGTACAGCTCACGTGGGATAGATTCGTTTTTGTTTTTCACATAGTTTTTCTATTTCATACTAACCGTTTAAACGTACCTAGGGACGAACCCAAGCGAAGCGAGGATGCGTTTACTAGTTTTAAATATATATATATATATATATATATATATATATATATATATATATATATATATATATATTTAATTTTGGTCGTGTTATTTTTTTTGATTTTAGGTTCCCGATATTTTAATATGGTGATAGATGAAATCACGGTGTTTCGAGTTTCGAAAGTCATAATTCTGTCGCATGTCTGTGATTTGGAAATTCTTTTAATTCAGTTTTTACACGCGCATGTGATATGTTGGCGGGGTTAAATGGTAAAAGATGAGTTATGTCCGACTCCAAAATCCAATCTATATTATTTGTTAAATTTTATCGAAATCTGTTCAGGGATTTAATTCTAAAAATCAAGAAAGACAGAATTACTTTCACGTGTATAAAATTTTAGCATGGATATCAAATATTTACGTAAGAGTCGTAAATCTTTATATTAAGAAATTAAATACCAATGCAAAAAAAGAAATTTTAACAATTCATAAAAAAAATCATTTTATGTATTTAACATATTAGAATGACAAAGTATCTTTAAATATTAAATTAAATAAAAATAATCTAAATAGTTTTATCATATACTAGCGACTCACCCTAACTCCGCTCGCGTCGTCCCTGAGTAGATCCGTTTTAACGGTTAGTATGGAATAGATAGACTACTTGTATCTTGTAGATATGATTTAGAAGCTTATAGCCTTCCTTAATAAACGGGCTATCTAGTGCAAAAATATTTTTTGAAATCGGATTAGTAGTTCTTGAGATTAATTTAAGATTTACTTTACGCTTTCAATAAAAAACAAATTCTGCCTCTTTATAATATTATTATAGATTTTACGTATTATTTTCATAGTATTTGGCTATTTTTATTTTGGAAATAAGTACTATAACTTATAGACTCATTCAGGCACAATATTTCCACGTCTTCCTAACAAACTTATAAGAGGAGTAGTTAAAAATTTTCTTTTTTAAAGTGTTCCACAAACTCAAAACCCTCTAATGGAGGGAGCCATTAAGCATTCATCGATTCCTAATTTATCTTTCTTTTCGATTTTTCCTCTTTCAAATCGTAAAGTTAAACGCGAACACTTTTTACTAAGACCCTATTATTAAGTGACGTAAATCTTAAATTTATTGTTTTATCGCTAATTTGAACATTTAACTCTTATAATTCCTTATCCTGACTCATTGGAATATTTTTAAAGCAAATTAGCCAAACGATAGTGAGTAAGTGCGCGCTAACATCATTTGTGCTATTTCTAACTTAGATATTTTTAACCGACTTCCAATTTCAAAAAGAAGGAGGTTCTCGATTCGTCGGTATCTTTTTTTCGAAGTCGGTGCCAGCCTACAATATTTTAAGATATGAATATCTAATAGGTAAATCCATATCGAAATATACTTATTAGATTTGCTTTGCATCGGCTGGCACCGACTTCGAAGATATCTGCTTAGGTATCTATTCTAAATGAAAACCTCCGTTTAGTATTTTTTTACATTTTAGTGCCTGGAAGTCGGTTTTTATTTTTTGTTAAAAAGTTTTTATTGATGATATTAAGTTATAATGAAGTTGTTTTGTTCAAACAAACAGACTGAACAGTCAGATTAAGCCTATTTATTAAGTAAAGTATGCTTAGTAATTATATATAAATGTGGGCGAAACCTAGTAATAATATAAATTTGTTATTTACTTTAGCAAAAATCACTACATAAAGCTATTCTCGAAGGAATTATATTGAATAATTAACATTACCTATATGAATATTTGAAGTTAACTCTAAAAATATATATAAATAATCTGAGCTAAAAATTTTGTAGTTTAAAATGAAACTAAAATAAAACCTTATTTTATTACTTCCCAAGTGACAGATAATAAAAAAAAATTGTCAGTGCGATAATAACATAAAAAAATATTTATTAAAAATTTACATTTAAATGTATTAATGGAAAGCTATGGTTATCCTTACCAGTTCCCACAGATGCGATTGGATGAGTTCCCTAACCATGGTGACGGCGTCGAGTATTATGGGATGCGGCCACTTGATGGACATGAAGCTAAAAGGTATAACAGATTTTTACCTATTTTTAACCCCCGACGATGCGTCTTTATGCAAAAAGGGGTGTTATAAGTTTAAAGTGTGTATCTGTCTGTGGTATCGAAGCGCCCAAACGGATGAACCGATTTTAGTAGTTCAGCTTTTTTTTTATTCGAAAGGTGACTTTATCGAGTGTTCTTAGCTATCATAAACAAGAAAATCCATTCAGCCGTTTGCTATCAGCAAACTTTTACAGATCTAATCGACTTGAAACTTGGTATCCCGTTACATCAATGATCTTAGAATCATATAATAATATAGGTCTGATGCAGCAGAGTCACCTGGAATTTGCAAAATACACGACTCTTTACTAAAATAAACTAGAGATATCGTATTTAGGCTCATTGCGATAACCTTATTGTATGTATATGTTGCGATTTTTTTTTATTTGGGAGTTTGACCTAATAGTAATTTACATACGAGAGTAGATTTGTGTGTAAAGTATTCTCAAACAACAGCAGCAATAATGACTTTTTAACTAACTAAAAAGGTTTTACCTACTTCGAAAAGTAAGTATGTCATAGTTTGGGGAAAAGTTTCTTTAAAACATTGGTAATTTACAACCCTTATTAGCAACCCTTGTAACCTGCATGGTGTCATTTAAATTGCGATGAAGAATTCGACCTCTATAAGTCGATTAATTCTAAAATCATTTAGAAATCCGTGTCCCTTTTAAGTTGAAAATTATTACTTTTATTTTATTACAAGCATTTCCCGCGGCTCCGCTCGCGTATTGTATTGTGTTTAAAATAATTACCCTGCTTTTGAATTTAACATCATCTCCAGTTTTATATCCTCACAGAATATACTGCCTAAAACTTTGATAAATTCAAATCAATCAGAAAATTAAGTGCGTTTTTTTTAATGTGTAACGTTAAAAATAAGGGATGTTTCAAACTCCTCTGTACTAATACCTTCTTAGATTTACGCGAATATTTGACATTTTAAATAAAACTGTCTTCTCGGATTTTTTCGCGGATTTATTTGGATTTTTGGTTCCCGACGTTTCGAATGCTTTACAGCAATCATGGTCACGGGAGAGACTGAGGTTATAGACGTCTCAAACACATACTTGTTACAGACAGTATTTACAAAAATGATTTCAAAAATTCAAAAATGGCAATAAATTATTGGTTATATTATTATGGAAATAATTATTGGTTATACATAGTAATATAATATTATATAGCAACACTAAATAATATTAGTAATTAATAAAGTTTTTAAAAATTGTAATATTTATAATAATAACAGCTAAAATTAAATAAATAATATTGCTATATTCAATTATAACACTTATAAAAAAAATTAAATGTTTAGAAATAAAAATCAACACATATTGTAAGGTACTATATTGCCATTTTTGAATTTTTGAAATCATTTTTTTTAAAATAGTGGGTAAGCACTGTCTGTAACAAGTATATGTGTTTGGGACGTCTATAACCTCAGTCTCTCCCGTGACCATGATTACTGTAAAGCATTCGAAACATCGGGAACCAAAAATTCAAATAAATCCAGAAAATATCCGAAAAGATAGTTTTATTTTAAAAAAAATCCTCTCCACTAAGAAAGGATCCAGTCCCTTTTTATACCTTTTAGGGTATATTATTAAGAAATCATTTCTTATCGGATATCAACTCCTTATGGTAAATCTACCTGCTTCAAGCCTGTAGCATTTATATCTTCCGAAATTTCATGATTAATCAGTGATTAAATGGTATTTCAGTTAATATTTATAAACATGTGTATATTATGTTTGTTTCAAATAACTAAATAAGTCCAACTAAACTAAATCGCATCAAAATAAACACAGCTATTATAATAACAGAAATAGAAGGAATATTTTAACCGTAAACAACGTGTAAATTAACTTTAATATATAGCTTTGCTGTTATCAAACTTGGGCTATAACGGTGCAAAGTTCAAACGGTCAGCATTATTTGAGTACGTGTTTATTGTTGAATCCTAAAGTGGTGAGCCACTATATTACCGCCATTCGCTCTTTATTATGAATACCTATTATGTATTATTCTATGTATATTTTTACATTTAATATATTATAATATCTTCTATTTTTATAGTTAGTATGAAATAGATAGACTATATAAAAGTATATTATATAGTAAGAGATATGATGAGTTGTTAAGGGTTGTATTATAACATATTTTCCCGTGGAAATGAGATGATCTCCCGCGGTAAAAAGTAGTTTATTTCACTTTTCATCCCGAATAAAAATTACGCGAATCCGTCACTCTGCTTTGACGTGAAAGAAGGATAAACAATCAAACAAAAAATATATAAAATATAAAAATGTTTAAAGTTAAAAAAAATATTGTAATGTAATTGGTTCAATTTTCATTTTGTTAATTGTGGGTAGGCTGTCTGTAACAACTATACATTCAAGACATGTAACACCTCAGTCTCTCCCGTGACCATGGATGCTGTAAAGCATTCGAAACGTCGGGAACCAAAAATCAAAATAAATCCGCGAAATAATCCGAAAAGATAGTTTTATTTAAAATGTTAAATATTCGCGTAAATCTAAGAAAGTATTATAACAATCAAACTTTCACATTTTTAAATAAAAAAATTCAAACTTCTAACAAGTATTTCTTTACAGGAGAAGCCGACCGAAAACTCGTCGATCGAAACGATCGAGATCAAGAAGTACATCGGATTCGAGATCCCGAACCCACAGTTGTTCGAAATCGCAGTCCCGTTCTCTATCAATATCTCGCAATAGGAGTCGATCTCACTCCGGATGTAGAAAAGAAAGCTTGAAACAGCCAAGCTTATTAGACGCTTTTCGAGTGCTTTACTTAAAACGTAAATATTTATCATTTTGTTCACGTTTTAACTACAGAATTGTATTTCTCATGCATATTTGCCAGTCACTTGGTGACTAAAAATGAATAGTGCCTATTTTGTATGGAGATGGTTTGAGAATCAAGTAAAAATTATTTATGATATTGCAAATGCGAAAAGTGTTTGTTTGTTGGTTTGTTTTTACAAGTAAAAATAGATTCTTTCTGAAAAGAAGTCTGTTACTTTATTATTTGTATAAATAAATTACATTTTAAAGTAGAGTATATATTAATATTATATTCTGTCTGTCTGTTACGTTTTCACGCCATACTTGCTTAACAGGTTTTATTGAAATACATAATTTGTAATAGGGATGGACAAAATCTTCCTTATGGCCACGCCGTACTTACCATACGAGCGAAATCGAGGGTAAAAACTGTAATATACAGGGGAAAAGTTAGTTTTATGAAGGCACTACTTATTGGACCTACCTAGTCAGTAAATATAGCTTATTTAGTAAGATATGCTATTTAACATTATGCTAAGAACTAGCAGGAGAGCAATTATGTATATATAAATAAGCAAAGACAGTTCAGACCCTTTTCTCCTCTATTTGAGAACCGACTTTTTTTTTGTTTAGTAGCTATAGTGTAACTTTAGTGTTATCAATAAAAAATAGCTATTTTTTTATAGATTGATAAATTCTATTCATTTATTGATAAATGTATTGAATAATTATCATTATGACCGAATTTTGACCACTGGACGCACATTAGTATGTATGTATACGCTGTGCGAATGGAGTTGCGGGCAAAATTTAGTTATTATAAAACAAATAGCTTGCTTCCCCATACAAACTTTCATCCCCATTCTCACTCCCTTAAGGGATGATTTCCGGGATAAAAACTATTTCACTCACTCACTTTTCATATCAAGAGATTTAAAAAAAAACTTATTTTAGAAAAAAAAATCTTTTATTTTTCTTCTATACAAAACTTCCTGACAATAACCAACACGAAAAAAAGAATTATCCAATTTGGTGCAGTCGATCCGAAGTTATGCGCGTACATACATTTTGGTGATTCATTTTTTTATATATAGATTAATATTTAATTTGACAAAAATCTAAAATGATTGAAACCAAACTGGATTAAACCAAAATTAATAAAATTAATAGCTGCATTTAAACTTATTTTAATTTTAAATTGTTAATAACGAACTAATTGCAATTTTAATTTAACCATAAACTCCCCGAACAGTGAATATTGAACTTCATTAGTTATTCTTTCTGTATACGTTAGTGATGTTTTACTATGATATAAAAATATTGATGAGAGGTGTCTATTTATAATAAAGCTCTAATAAGCATTAAAAACTGTATGTTTATCTGTTCACTTTTGGACCAGGTTTTAGCGACAGGGATATATCGATACTTTATTTCGCAAGTCGGTTAACTCCTTTTCAGTGCACTTTTTAGGGGGCACTAAAACCGTAATAAATAATATATTATGAATTCGGTAAACATGAAATTTTATATTATTTAAAAATATTATTATTATAATACTATTCCAAGTATTTTTGCGTATTCGTACTAAGTAGGTGTTATTGAAATATTTACGTTTTTGGTAGCCTTTGAAAAATTGTCTGAGACAGAGTTAGCCTAGCAAATACATTAGCAAATTAAGGTATACAGGTTATTTTTTTGAGGCTGCGTAGTCTAAAGGCAAAAACGTCATGTCACGTCCGTGTGTCTGTCTGTCAGAGCTATGACAGTTAATATGTAAAAAGTAAAATTGTATATGATACTAGCAACTCACCCTCGCTTCGCTCGGGTTCGTTCCTAGTTACGTTTTAACGTTCAGTATAGATTTCTTAGAGATGAGATATTTTTCCGCAGTAAAAAGTACCCTATGTTGACCCGGATAACCAGCTACCATCATACCAAATCTCATCAAAATCCCTCCAGTGGCTTTTCCATGATGCGGTAACAGACAGACAGACAAAAACTCTAAAAACTGTAGATTCGGCCTCTATATCGATAATAATGTCTATTTCAATAAGATTTTCCAAAAAATATTTAATGTACAAATTCGGTTTATTTACAATTTTATTACATGTACGGATATAATATGTTAATTGTTTTCTTTTCAATTGTTATAATTTAAAATTTATAATGTGTTTGAATTAAAGGAAGTTGTTTCTTCTTCGATTTATCTATTTTAATAATTGAATTATATTAAAAATTATATTTTTTTTCCAGCAAGCAAATACAAAAAGAACACAACTAAGTATTTGGCAACGAAAAAAAAACAGGATCGCATACAGGAAGTTCTGAAAAGTGACGGTCTTGGGTCGAAAAAATGGTTGTTATATCCGAGACGTCGAACAGAGTCCGTTATGGAACCGGTCAGTTTAAATTGTGACAAAAGAGTCAAAATAGATGCAGATTTCTTCAGAAAGTATAAAAAGAGAAAGCAGGTGGACAGCGATGCGCCGATCGCAAAGTTGAAAAGGTGGGAATTGATTTTTTATAAGAAACTCGGCTTTATACAGGCTGTTTAGTGAAATAAAGTTTTGTTCGTACACTTTCTTTTTGTTTTGTTAAGGTTTTTCTATATGTTATTCGACGTTTTACTGTGCTTCATTGATTGAAATTTAACATTTGTAGCGTTATTGGTTCATTGTGTGAATCAGTAAAAATAATACACGTTTTCTTTAAAATTTATTATTATATATAATTATTTATTTTTATAGAAATAAATAGTATTACAATACATATAAATAAAATTTACAATAAAATTACGCTTAACATATTTATCAATTACATTCCGACAAATATTACATGATTAGAATGAAAGCATAAAGCAAAATTAATTAATAAAATTACAAGAATTAGCATAAATATGATAACAATCAATAAATAAAATATACTATCAATATCAATAGTTGATAAATACTCTTAAATAAAAAAAACTACATAAAATATAAAAAATTGTAATCTTCATTTCCAACAGCATACCTTCACTATAATACTTTTAGCTATAAGACACCTCTAAAAGCAAACATAAACTAAAATTCTAATTTAACGAGATCAGACTAGACTGGTGTTAGGATAATTTTCTGCACTTAGGTATACACTCTCAAATAAATGCGGGTTACGCGATAAATTTAAGCATTAGCTTGCTAGGTGTAATGGCCCATAGAGCACGAGAAGTTTTAAATTAGTACCGAATTGTGGAGTTATCGTGTGGAAAATTGACGCGTGGGAAAAACTCGCTTACAGAACTCTTTTGTTGTTTATAGGTACTGATTTTTTATGTATAGTTTTCATTGTATTTTATGTTTAACTAGCGACTCACCCTCGCTTCGCTCGGGTTCGTCCCTAGGTACGTTTAAGTTTTTTGAGCGGAACCCTAATTCTTTATCTTAAATAAAATAGCCTATGTTACTCTCTATAACATCAGTTATCTTCGAGTGAAAGTTCCTTGAAAATCCAGCCGTTTCAGAGATTATCCGGAACAAACAGACAGACAGACCAAAATAAAAAAAATGTGTTTTCTTATAAGTACCGTATATGATTTCATATGCATTTAGTTAAATGCTATTGCTTTGACATTACAAACAGACACTTCAGTTTTATTTATCTGTATAGACTAGCGACATCCCAAGGTATGTACGTCTTAAGTAGATATAAATTGTTATTAGCCAGCCAGGTTAATTTTAATATTTTTTGCGGGAATCTTCCGAGTTTTAATATTTATTCTGCTATTCGGGGCGAAGACTAATCCAACAAAACAAAGATCTTAAAAATAGGTCCAGCCCTTCTTGAGTTATAAATGGTGTAACTACCTTCTTTTTTGTTTTTTTTTTTATTATATATATATATATATATATATATATATATATATTATATATATATATATATATATATATATATATATATATATTTTTGATGATTATATTCTATTGTATTGCCTATATACAAACAGGCAAAGACAAAACAGTTCAGTACCTTTTTGTCTTCTGTTTGTCAATAGATTTTCTTTTGTATTTGCTTAGTAGTTATTGACGAACTTAAGTGTAAACTAGCGACTCACCCTCGCTTCGCTTCGCTCGGGTTCGTCCCTAGCTTGATTCCCTATACAAACTTTCATCCCCATTTTCAAGGGATTATTCTTAAGGGATGATTTCCGGGATAAAAAGTATCCTATGTAAGGACATACTCAGGGTCTCAAACTATCTTCTTACCAAATTTCACCTAAATCGGTTCAGTACCTACTTCCAGAGATTACCCCCTACAACGTCACAAACTCACAAAGTTTACCTCTTTATTATATTAGTATCTATAAATAAAACACGAAAATTCATTAAAAAAACACCAAAATAAGCTTTACCAGAATTATCTATATAAGGGATATGATATTAATGTGCTGACAAAATTTTCGTTTGTTAGATATTGGTGTACTGTACGCAAAATAATATGTTTACAGTATATTTTTTAGTATTGGTGTATATACATTAAAAGTGTTTTTATCTAGGTGTACATTGTAGTAACTAGTAAGCTTTTGCTAGTGTAAGCATAATCAGGCATATTTGGCTCAGTTTGTAGTGACCCTACTTGCTGTGCCAGCGGTCGCGGGTTTGAGTCCCGCTGGGGGCATTCATTTGTGTGATGAGTACGAATGTTTATACTTCAGTCATGCGTGTTTATATTCATAATATGTGTTTAAAAGTGATATATGTGTAGTGTATCAACTATATGGTGTCCATAAAACAAGCCTCGTAGCTTACCACGGAATTAGATGGTGCTGTGTGTTAATGTCATAACATATTTATATTCAATTATATATTGTATACTTATCAGATTCCACTGGGGAAATAGTATTCTTTCATAGAGAAAACGAGAAGTTACAGTTAAGGCTATAGAACATATTAAGCTATATGATGTCATGTGACTAATCTCTCTCTCTCTC